TTATGGCTGAACTCGTCCTTCCTCCACGACTCAACGGAGATTCGATGCACGTATAAAAACATACATGCTGTACAGTTGTCATGTAGCTGAGGGCGCCTCAACTCCTTTTGCCCAATCACAGCACGGTTTCCATTATATGTAAATATACGTTGCGTGAGAAAAGACGAGCTGCTTGGACACGGGAAACAGTCGTCTAAAAAGCATTAACGAATCTTGCTCATGCGCTAGGCTTTGGGGAAAGTGCAATAATCCACGGTTTCAAATGTTCTTCAGTTTGATTGGATGGTTCATAATTTACCTTTTATGCTGAGAACTTGATTTACAGGCCGTCTGTCGCGTGTCGTGGTCATTTATTGGTAAAAACATGCTTAGTAATTAACACTGCAGCACGTTTTGAGGGATAGTGCCACAACGCCCTAAAGCAATGTTCAGTGTAGGCCTATTGGTAAAGTGATCTTGCATCTTAAGAAAATCTAGTCTAGGTGCATTCTGATGCAGTATACAAGAAGTCAATATTTTCCCCGAGAGCGACGTTGATGGACACACAATACAAGCTGTCAACCTTGGTATAAGCCTGTCTTAAGCTTCAATGCTGTATTTTCATTGGCTTGGAAGGATTATAAGACCGGGCGACAACCACGCATGTCACCTTCATCTTTGGACATCACATCATGGTTGCGTTCACGCGGTTACTGCTGTTAACACAGTAGGATGCGTGTGCATTTAGCTGCATTATTACACTCGGGAGCAGGAGCATACTCCCCTCAAGCAATAGTATCCGCGGGTTGTACTCCAGCCGTTCGAGCCACAAGATTATACTCTTGTTAACATGAGTAGCTCGCTCGAACGAAAGAACGAAAGCACCCCTATGATAAGACCAGTCCCCGCCCCACAGTCCAAACTAATGATACCATAATGTGAGAGCTGCTTACACCTCTGCTGTACTTTCACGATGATGATAGTGCGATCAGCCGTTGGAGCACTGCAATTTTTGTCAAAGGTTGAAGTTAATTTTTCGTTTGAAAGTCGTTTCTTCGCAACTAACTGAACTTTCTTTCAGTTTCTCAACTTATTTTTTCCTGCCATGGTCTTTGCGTACACGCAGAACGCGTGCAAGAACCTGCTTGTAACCACCTGTCTTTATTTCGCCGCTCGGGGTGCACTTCAGATCGGGACGGATAGAAGATTTTCGTATGGGTCGGCCGCGCGCGCGCGCCTTCTGGAGAAGTAATACCGGGACATTCTGTCCGGGGTGTGTGTGCAAAATATCATTTGGAACAGAAATTCCTTGCACACCACCTTTGCCTTCGTGTTAATAATAATACTAATATTAAGACTTACAACGCGCAAAATGGTTTTAAAGACAATAAAATACAATAAATAAAGGTATTGCTTCCATACTTTCGAGCAAGACGTGCAATTAACATAAATTACCATACTGTCATCAACAGAGGCTTAGTAGGGATAGGTACAATGTATTTGTGTTTTATTCGCCTCCCCGCTGAAACGTGATTCGTTTTAAAGCAATGCTATTTGCCTGACGAAAAAAAATGAAGGGAACCAGTCCAATACGGGCGATTCACAACGGTGCGCCTCCAAGAGCTTGCAACGTGTTGACCAATCACAAGGCGCGAAATCTGTCGACCCTTTCCAAACGCACTTTGGATCGACATTTTGATAACAACAAAAACGTTTCAGACTTTCTTGTTTCATAGCGCATAGAGCAGTAGAGTATTACATCCAACTCTATGGAAACGCCTGTATTCAAACGCTGTGCGAAAACAGTTGAAATAGAGTGATGAAGCCTGGGCGATAGACTGTAAATCGATAGACTTATGACGTTGCACAGGAGACACATTTATCAGGGGGACAAACTTACCGTTGGGCATGGGGACAAATTATCTGGAGGGGACAGATTTACCTCAGACAGTTTTTATCGGTGTGCGGTCGACGTTCGGTAAAAGCATGTGATTCTACCTCCATGGTAAAAGTGTCCGGGTGATGAATTTACCAGGGGGGACAGTTATACCTGTTACATCAGCCCTGACTTAATCAAATTATCATACTAGGCTTGCAACTTTCATTTGGAGAGATTAAAAATTGTGTGCAAACCTTACATACCTAGTGTGGACCTGTGAACAAAGAGGTCCACGTAATGCCAGGTTGTTTGAACCTTGTACATGTACACCATATGAAGCAAACTATGGGACAGAGAGCACCCCGGCCCCCCCCCCAGCCCGCCTTTGTGTTGGTCATTGTTATGCTGGTATCTCAGGAATTCGTTTCCAGACTTCGGGGGGGGGGATGTGTTAGGTAACAATAGGCTAGATTGTGTATAGGGGTTGGACTTGTGGGAGGGGGTACCCCTCTGTCCCATTTCTTGCCTGGTGTACTGTATATGGACTAAGAGGAGTCCACAAAAGGTTGCTCTTTTCTGGAAAACAGGTTTAGAGGCATTTAGGGATCGAGTCATCTGCCGAAAATGAAGACTGAGAGGACCAATGAAGGAAATCATCATCAAAAATCTATTTCGAAAAAAAATGCTCGCGAAATTTCTTGATAAAACGAAAACAAAGGAATATTCACACAAGGTAGGTATATGATTGTGATACCAAGAAGGGTGACCGTGTACGCGTGTAGGTTTCAGACTGCTGTTTTATGTACTAATGTCTGTATGTAGGGTGGCCCAAGCAAAAAGTGATGAAACTGAAAACTGCGCTGTGGTTGGCCAAGGCAGTTGAAACGCCCTCCAAATACTATTGACGAGTCGCGTTATTACATGGAAGTGTTGCAGCTGGACTGAACTGGTGAGAGAAATTTCGTGAATTTAACCATTTCTACATGTTCTAGGACATGTCATGGATTCGATCCCACCCTACATGTACCTAGCCATATTAGGTGAATATCAATGACATACTGAAACGAAAATGGTCAGTTTAAACAATCATTGGATAACATGAACATGTTAATTGTTGTTGAGCGTTGGCAGTGAATAGTGAACGGCGACGTAGGCTATGACTGTATATGTACATGCGCCATAGAGGACGGACACAGGAGTTTTAACTGTCTGGTTGTGCATTAGTGGTACATGCAGTGTACTTCAAAGTGTCCAGTGATCGTCGCCGCTGAGTCAGTCAGACGAATGATAGAAAATATTCCAAGAATGCGCGAGTTCTGCCTGCATCTTAGCCGGACAAACGGGGCCAGTAATGTCCTGGCAATACTTAAAGTTGTAGCGTTTTGCTTGCAAATAAATTAGTGCTGTGACCAGGAAATAGAGAAAATCCCTGATAGTACTTAGTAGACTTACTTTTGCCATCTTGAATAAACTTTTCTAATGTTGATACACTGTTCCGTTTTTATTCACCTCCCCTAATACATCAGTTTCAGACTTGGCGTGAATTTGGCTAAGACTGGCCAAAAAAATGTTGACTACTGCTGGAAAGCTAAGATCACAAAGAACAAAATGTGCTATTTTGTCACAGTCATGAAATCTTGTAAAATAGGCTTTTGTACAAATATGTCTTAAAAAAACACAAAATCTTGTAAACAACGGGGCAATTTATTCCCAAAATAGGCCCTAACTCCAGAAGAAAGCATTCATTAAGGGCAATGACTGCACATATAGATTTAGGGCACACAGCGTAACGTAAGCAACTGGGCAAACATTAAATTTGATGTTGTCATGAGATCATACCAAGCACCAACAAAGCAAGGAATATTCAATTTCCTATTCCTCAGTGTACAGAGTTTCCAGAATACAGATTACCAACGAAAATTGCCGTGGCGATCATAGGGTACAAAGGGGTTTCGTGGTTGTGAAACAACAGATAGTGCGTAGCAAGCTCTCGCTGCACTCTGGCTACGGACATACCGGGCATACAAGAAAGCGGCAATTGGTCAGATGTTATAGCCTGTGCAGTTCTAACTCCTGTGTCCTTCCTCTATGGATGTACTAACATGGTAGAGTTCCCATGTATGTGGCACACTTCGACCTTTGGGTTATTTGATTTTTCTCACACACCATTGCCAAAATTGTGAAAACGTAAAACTCATCCGGTTGAAAACTCCTATTACCACCTTCATGTTACATGGATGGTGTTGAACCTTTGTGAACAATTTCAGTGTCATGAAATTTCATTCGAAATCCAAGAGTGTCTGCATCTGGAAATTGGGCTCAAACACGTCGAATTCAGCTGAATGTTCCTTACTTTGAGAACTCAATCATAGTCACAACTCCATGTGACTTTGAGCCAATGTTGTTTACACGGGGTCGTAACGCTAGGGGTTTTGTGAACAAACTTTTGAGGTAAACTCCACTTATTCAATCAAATTTTCCTGTGAGAGCAACCTTTAGCATGTTGAAGTTGGCCTGCCTGTAGCGCTCGAAGAGGGTGTAACAGAGGGTTTCAGAGCATGAGACCGAGTATTTTTTTGAACTGATGAGACGTTATGCTCTCCAATCTCTCTTTCCACCTGATGACGATCACGCTGTTCATGGTGTTTGTTTATTGCATATGCATCAGCCAATGGCCAAGCTGGCTCGGTTCAACCATTTTCAAAGAAGGGGGAGGGGGGATTTCTAACATCTTGCAACCTGTCACAGTACACGGGCAGTTCACATAGCAATGAAAACAAGATGTCCCTCCCTTTCTCTGAAAATGTTTGAACCGAGATGTGGAGCAAGCTTGGCCATTGGTCGGCCCGACGCATGTGCAGTGTGATAAACACAAACAGCATGAACAATGTCATTGGTGAGTAGGCATCTCAGATTTTTCAAAAAACACTCTGTCTCATGGCTTGAGACTCACTGTTACACCCTTTTCAAGAGCTACAGGTACCTCAAGGTTGCTCTCATGGAAAAATTTGATGGAAGAAGTGCAGTTAAAGCTGCTGCATTGTGTACCTCAAAAGTTTGATTTAAAAAAAACGATAATGTCAGAACCACGTGTAAACTACATTTGCTCAAAGTCACACAGGGTAGTGACTTTTAGTTCTGGAAGTAAATGTTCCCTAACCATGCTAATGTGGTGCACTTGAAAAAAATCTCTAAAATCATTGACAAACATTTACAAAATCCCTCAAAGCTAGAATTTGTGTAAAGCATCTTTACTCCCACTCAAATGCCCATCCACAGGTTTGTCAGAAAGTTCTTTCCCTATTTTTGGGCACATTTACATGTAAGAGTTCATTTGAATGCTGGTCAACTGAACTCGTACGCATACTAACACATACATGTACATGCCGACTCATTGACCATTAAACAAGTACGCCGACCAACGCCAAATTGTACCGTTATTATGACATGTTTGAGGATATGTGTCGTTGTGTTGCCCTTGCCCTCTAAGGTATGTTAAATTTTTCTTTAAACTTGATACCCACCCAGTCTGTTAGAAAATAATGTGTGCTATTGGGTGTATCAATGTTTTTGATGATAAAATTTGAACTTATCAATGACAAGCCACCGTAGTAAAACAAATGGTTTTGAGTTATATTTATTATTATTCTATTGGTTTATTTCAAATTGGACTTGCCAAACATGCCAAAGGCTAAATTGAGCCAATATTTACAAAACTGTAACAGAACGATATTTACGCAGCAAAGGTCGTAAAAAATTATTTCATGTAAAGTAAAGGTTTAAACAAAAGCTTTTTAAAATTACTGACAGTATGTAAAAGAAAATAAGACAAATAGAAGGACCAACTATCCAACCGACAGAAGGCTTGCAAGTCTGCACCAAGCAGCCCCTTTTAAAATACAGTGTTGATTATAATCTGTAGATTAAATGAGTAAAACCGTGTGAAATTGGATAAAAATGGAAATCGGGCCAAACAAATTTAAAAATTGCTCGAAGTTTTACATGACAGAAGACCACAGCAGATATAATGTACACGTACTTAACGAAAAGATCACCTAAAAAACTGTCACATGTTCTACAGTAGCAGACCATAGAACGTTAACAGATTTATAAAAAAATGTAAAACAATTCCCACCCCCAAGAAACATTGAAGTTGAAAAATAATTAATTATTATGTTTTAATACTGTGTAGGTTACTAATTAATGACAGAATGGGACTATTTGTGTGTCTGCTTGTCTCATACTTCACTCTTAATTATTACTGTTTGTCTCTCGAGTTATGTTGCACCATGGAGATGTTTTATTTCTCCACGGTTGCACCTAATCACTGCAGTGTTTAGGCAGCCAATCTTAAACCTACTGGACTTTTTAAGTTCAGTGGCAGATTTAACACAGATCTTTGCAGAGGTCCTCTAGGGTACTTAAATTAACTACATCCAGCACCTGTTGAATGCTATGAGGTGTAATTTAAGATCAAAATGATGAAAAGGACACGCTTTTGGATCCTTTCCAACTGATCAACTCGTTTTAAGATTAAACCCTATTTGAGTATTTGAGTTGTTCCGTGGCAGGATGGGCGTGGCTTTGTAACGGATCTTGGGTCACATCTCTACTACGCTGAGTGGGTTAGTGTCACCATGCGAGGCCATCTTGTTATCATTCTGCTTGTCATGCTGCAGAGAGTTCAGCCACAAGACAAAGGTAAATGCATGTAGTCTGTGTTCAAAACAAAATACATACATCAGTTTACATGTATATTGGGTGTTTTGTCTCCGACTCTCCCATATCCCCCCCCCAAAAAAGTTAGCTTGGCTCACTTGCTACTTATCAGACTCTGCAGTACTAACCAAGAGGTCCTTGGTTGGAGTCCCACCTACGCTAGCTTGTGAAGTTTGTTGCAAGACCCCAGAAAAACACTGAACACACAGAGTTTATTAATACTGCTAAAGGACAAAATACCCAATCGAAAAGCAACACCTCTCTGAGTGCGTCTAACGTCTCAAAGTTAAATACGTATTTGTACAAGAAAAGCTGGTACATGTTAGATTAAATTGTCTGGCCCTGTTACTTTTTAAGTAATGTTCGGGTCACTGCAGTCTATAATTGCATGTACATGTAGCTTGTAGCAGTCTTTGTATTTTAGTGGACTGGTCACATGGGATCAGTATGTTGTACTGCCACTAAGCGTCTCAGAAGTTGCCATTTGTCTTGGGTCACTTCACTCCCACACAGATCTAATGTGTGCCAGTTATCCCTGCCTGCATGGTGGTCTATGTCAGGACACTCTCAACACCTACAGTTGCAATTGCCCTCCGGAGTGGACAGGCAAAAACTGTGAACAAGGTAAAATGGAAGTTACACGTCAGTGTACCTGTACCACTGCCAAGTCTAGCATGTCTTTCTGTTGGATTGACTAAGTTGGCTGTGTACATTATAAACTTGTGCTTGTACCGGTGCTGTTTCCTGCAGACTGAAATCCACACACCATCCATTAAGAGAGGTCAGATGATTTGCACACACTGCATGCTATTTCTTGCCGTGCCGTCATTATTTTTTGAAGATATGCAAGGCATCATTTGAGAGATGATTACATAAATGACATTGCTTTGATTTATAAACTTGACCAGTGACCACTGTCCAAGTAACTGTAACGGTTAACTAATGCACTGTCAGGAGTAGGATTCCCAACCAACAGGAATCTGTTCTTTATAAATTTATACATTTTATTTTGGCATGATCTCAATTGTCTGCAGGTCTGTATTATCGTTATATTGTAATGTTCTTTTCTGATATTAGGAGGAATGATGTATATTCAGTACCTTCATATTTAACATGGTCAGGGCCAGTGCTCAAAGTTTCCATTACTCTACCCAATTGCACATATTTCATATCACATTTGTGACTTTTTTCCTTCTCCTTGAGAACAAAGAAATGCTTTTGCATACCGAGACTGAATTAAAAGGAAATGATGGCATTGGAATTGAAGCCTGAATGGGTTTGTAATTGCTTCAGATGTGGATGAATGCAGCAGCAGCCCGTGCAAGAACATGGGGCATTGCGTCAACCGAGAAGAAGGCTTTGATTGTGACTGCCAACAAGAATGGACAGGACCGACCTGTGACAGACCTTCCCGTGAGTAACGAGAGATTTCAGGTGTACGATACATGCGGATTCCTATTGCAGACTTGCAAGGGGTGCCCGACCTATTTGAGTGTTACCCTAACTAATGCATTACCCTAACTAATGCATCAGCACCCTAACTAATGCATTTGCACATGCAGGTCTCTCATGGTTTTTAAAGGGGTCTGGTGAGAAATATGCACAGTGGTACACTTTGAAGGGGTTGTTTAGTAAACTGCAAGGTCATGGATTGAAGTTTGTCATTATAAGTTTATAAAACATTGTTACTGTATTTACAGAAAACGACAAAAGGCATCTGGTCTAAAATGTATCATTTTGAGAAAAAAGGGGACACAAATACCAGGATTTTAAGTTTGCTGAGTTCTGAAATATTTGTTGTTTAGAGAATTGATTTTTCAGCTCAACAAACTTATTATTGATTGTTCTGGATTTACAGCGTGTCAGAGCAAGTTCTGGAATGATGCTTTCCTGGCAAGTTGCCAGTGATATTGAGTATCACAGTAATTCTGGGAATGAAGATTCCAATTTTCATTGTTCAAATAGATACATGTACTATACATGTACATTTATGTTAATACAACTGTAACCGTAGCTTTTGACTTGACTCTTGACAATTGCTGTTGACGGCAAGCTGTGAATTGTAGATTTCAGTAGATGAAGGATGAAAAATCTCCACCAGTTATCCGTGTTTCAGATTCATTTATTTAGGAGATTCATTTTCCACTGTGCAGAAATGACAGAATGTGGACCACAGCTGTACACCGGTTGGCCCAGTGTTCAACTGGGGAGCATCTCGGGCCCACCATTCACACCCGCCAACTTCACCGACACCATTGTGCCTTACACCTGCAGTTACACCATCACCAATCAGGAGGTCACGGGCAAGGTTCAGCTCATCTTTGATGATTTCCTAATGTTTGGGAGCAGGAGAAAGTTCCCCTGTTCATGGATCTATTCGAAAAACGTTATAGAGGTCAGTGGTTTTACTCTTTGCTGCATTAGTGGAAATATTTGAAAAGGGTAGATGAATGAAGAAGACATCGGATTTTTACCTATTGTAGTGGCTTGTTTTTTAACATGACGTAAATATCCCAGATAATGTTGCATGTCAATGCCCATGGGGGTTTTGTGGGTAGTCGTACATTCCACTGTTGGCTTGTCAAGCATGGGTCCCAGGGATCCTACTTTGCTGCTCAGTGCTTCTCTCCAGTCAGGGGAGCAGTGAGGGCAGAGATGGTTATTGTGAGTGAATTGGCCCAAATAGCTGGATCAGATGGACTGCATGATCGGTTGATCTATGTGTGTGATCAAAACATCATTCTCTTGTACACTGACTTTTAAAAGCGACAAAGAAATTAGTCTTGATAAATACTTTCACGAAGTTACCACTATTAAAAACCAAGTCGCATAGAATTCTGGATTTTTGTTCCTCGAAAATTCATAATGCTGAAAACTTGTGGGCAAAGAATGAAGATGTTTCCACTTGTATCTCTGGGGAGAGATTGAATCAAATTTAAATCATTATTTTTACAAGTGATTGAAAAAAAGTGACATATGTTGTAGTAAGGTTGACTGAATTTATAAATTAACATGCAGATCTATGAGGGCCAGTCTTCAACTCCTATTTTAAACCAGTGCTTTGCTTCAAATAAGCGGCCCAGTGCAATTGTGTCCTCGGGGAATTCCCTTCGCATTGACTTCAAGCACCAGCAGAGCATCTCTTACCAGTTCCCTGTCTTCCGAGCTCACTATCGCTTTTTGGGCTCCAAAGAGCCCGCTGTTAAGCCCAGAGGTAAAGATAAATTATGTTATTCAATGTGAGCCATCTATTCTCCAAGTGCATTTCTGTTTTAGGGTGCCCTTTGACCTAGAAGAATACCTGTGGTGTACAGCAGGGTGGCATCCTGGTGTATGTAAATTGTGACTTCTCCTTTACATCTGCACTGTGATTTTCAAACTATGTCCGTTGAATCTTGCTTTAGGTGTATTTATTTGTATGTGATTTTTCAGGTGTACGATACATGCAGATTCCTATTGCAGCCCTGCAAGGGGTGCCCGACCTATTTGAGTGTTACCTCCACTCAGCACCCTAACTAATGCATTTGCACATGCAGGTCTCTCAGGTTTTTAAAGGGGTCCGGTGAGAAATATGCACAGTGGTACACTTTGAAGGGGTTGTTTAGTAAACTGCAAGGTCATGGATTGAAGTTTGTCATTATAAGTTTATAAAACATTGTTACTGTATTTACAGAAAAACGACAAAAGGCATCTGGTCTAAAATGTATCATTTTGAGAAAAAAAGGGGACACAAATACCAGGATTTTAAGTTTGCTGAGTTCTGAAATATTTGTTGTTTACAGAATTGATTTTTCAGATCAACAAACTTATTATTGATTGTTCTGGATTTACAGCGTGTCAGAGAAAGTTCTGGAATGATGCTTTCCTGGCAAGTTGCCAGTGATATTGAGTACCATAGTAATTCTGGGAATGAAGATTCCAATTTTCATTGTTCAAATAGATACATGTACTGTACATGTACATTTATGTTAATACAGTTATACAACTGTAACCATAACTCTTGACTTGACTCTTGACAATTGCTGTTGACGGCAAGCAGTGAATTGTAGATTTCAGTAGATGAAGGAATCATCTGTCGGATCTTGCTTTAGGCGTATATATTTGTATGTGATTTTTCTTTTAAATGTCCTTTAATTTATGACATGTTTGGTTTTTTTTCTTTCAGTGGAGACAATTACTTTCTTTGAGGATCGTATCAGTCAGTTCTCTACAACATTGTGGCGCCCAGACTCCCATGATATATTGTGGCTGTTCGTAGCACCAAAGAAGAAGCATGTGTACTTATCCCTCAATCCTATCTACATATCAAGTACGTAGGATCAAATCTCAATCATTTTCATGAAAATGAAGGAAAACATCCCCCTGAAATGAAAAGATGCACGAGATAGACTAAATCTTATGTCCAGTGAGTCTGGAGTGAAGTGATAACATGGTGGCTTGAGCACCAGTGATAGTCAATATATGAGCACCTTGTAGTGTCAAAACTTCCCACTAGCCTGTCTCTTCTTTGCCCGTGAGGGCGCACTTCGACGAGCGGATGCCTAACCTTCAAATCAGTGCCTGACTTTTTAAATTTGAGAAGATTAGCTAGGTTTTTGTCCTGGCTACCTCTGAAGTGTCGCCGTTACTCTCCCCTTAATTTTTTTTTGGGGGGGGAGATGTCACTGCAGTGCAGTAGTTTTGCAGTAATGTTGTACAATCGTTGTGAAGATCTGACATAGCATTCTCTCAGAATGCTAATCTGTTTGAGAGAGGTCACTTAAACATGTCAACTTATGCCGTTGATGTGCTCAGTGCACGTGGGTGATGCGTTTCTGGCTATGAACTGTGAATGACCACAACAAAAGCCCATACATCAGATTGGAGGAAAATTGCAAAGATGTACTCATAATGAGTGCCTTCACGTACATACGAAGTGTCCCCCAAATCAGGCATGAGACAGCTGAGATGTCCTCCCCCTCCCCCGGTGTGAGATGATCCCCCAAAGCCTGGCTCTTTTAGGGTAAAGGCCTTACTTTCAACCATGAGGGGTTTTATTAATACATGAACCTGGGTTCTGTTTGCACTTAGGCTTTATCTCTGAAATAATCACCAACTTAAGGCTAACATTGTTCAAATTAAATCAAACTGCATCAGTAGTTGAGTCACTGGCATGTAGTTTGACGTTTTGTTGACTTATTATTGAGCTAATAAATTCAAAGTCAAAGGGTTAAAAATCAGCCCAAGCCTGTGACAGAGACAAAGCTGAATATTGGAGAACCCCCTCTCGGCTTCCACCCTCACTCCTGTTTTCCCCCGTCTCGTTTTATTTCTTGCCTCAGAGAATGTAGGCATCATCCTGGACGTTCATGACGGCATCACGTCCTACGCTCCCAAGGTGGAGTCAATACATCGCAGCTATCACTTCCCTGCCATACAGATCACATCCACCAGCAATGGGCTGTATGTACGCTGCCACACGGGACAGCTGCTGCACCAGAACATTACTGTGGCAGGAGTGTTTGCTTTCTATTCAGACGCTGGTAAATAAAATCATCCCATTTACTATGATAGTAGACACTGCTGGATTGCAGGGGAAAGAACCAAGATTTAGCATACATTATTATAAACTAAACTTACGTCTGTATAAGATCAAAACCTGTTATTGAAAAATAGATGAGCATCTCCTCAACTCTCAGTGCATCTTTGGAAAGATCTATTCATTTCTTCATTTTCTCTATTTCGTCTTCATCCTGGGGAGCATCTCGGTTGAAAACTGTTTTTCAGAGGTGTCCAGCAATTACATTAAAATTCATAAAAATTACAATTGTATACAATTGAGAAAATATTTCAGAAATAAAGGAAAGAGCTAAAAGTAAAAATCAAAACAACAGGATACATTAAAGTACAATAAAATATTAGGAAGCGTTTTTTTGGGGTTTTTTTTGAGTTTTAAATATAAATAGGGAAGGAGGACTTGGTACCATTTCATCTCCTTTCGACCCATCATGTGTGAAATACCTCCCAAATTTAGCCTCACGCCACAGAGAGACCCCAAATGTTGCACGATAAATATTTCTGTCTATCGTCCCCATTGGTGATAACGCTTGCATTCTCCGTTATCCCTTCATATGCTGCTCATCCTTGGTTTTTCAACTTGCAGCTACCAGGGAATCCTGTTCTGAATTCTTGTGTGCCAACAACCGTTGCATCCCCAACTACTTTGAGTGCGACGGCGTCAACCATTGCGGGGATGATTCTGATGAGAAACCGTGTCTTGGTGAGGCCCCCCCTTCCCCATTTTGGCTTGGTCTGTTGACTGGAGCCACTTGCCCACCGGGATAAATTTCATCTATGAACACTTTTATTATCATGTGATCATTTCTGAATGGCAAATCGCTTTGTTCGGTGACAGAGCAAATGTGCTAGTGGACAGTGAACCTCCCATTTTTGATTTTTTTAAATTCAGATGTAATGAAGACAGTGTACCCATTCGTATTGTTCAAACACCTACCGCATGCATGGTTTAAACAGGTGATTATGGCATCAACTGAGTTCAATTGAAATTTGGGCACCTGTTTTTCAGCCTCTAGCGGTCATACATGACAGTCATCATGGCCACGATGGGTTGTGCACTACAGCCAATGAACTCCGAGTCCACATTTTATTGTGAAAATCTCACTTCAAGCAGGTGCAGCTTGGTATTTTAGTTGAGTACCTTTCAGGTACCAAGTTTACTACTAAATTTAAAAGGGTTAGGTGTGAAGAAAGCCAGAACCATCCAACGTCCATGGTTCCCGGCTTGATTCTTACCTTATTAACCACAGTAGTCAAACCCCCCATCACGCTTTTCTTACTTTTGTACTTTCTTTGTACGTATTACTAGGCTTGTGCCCAGATAAATGGTGTGCTAACGGGGGGCAGTGTCATCAGGTGACAACTGGCTACCCACGCTGTACTTGCAAGCCGCACTTCTCAGGGGACAGGTGCCTGGAAGAAGAAGGTAGGTTGGTAGAGGGCAGGGAGACAGGGTACCAAACCAAACTATTGTCTGCATCTGTAACGGTGGGGCGTAGTGGAATTTCCAGAAAGTTTGTAGTTAGGCAACTTGTTACAACTCCAAATACTTGAAACATTGAGTTTTCTTTGATGTATTGGTTGCCAGCTCTTTCATATTCTTTGCCACTTCCAAAGGAGAGTCATCATTTGTTTGCACTGGCAACTGGCTTTCCTGTACTCACAATGGCCTGCATGACTCATGCATTTTGACACACTACAGCCTATAGGAACTTATCTGGTTTGTCTTTCCCCTCTAATTGGAGAAACCCACATTTCTCTCGGCTGCAGTGTGTCCCAAGGATTACTGTATGAATGGTGGTATATGCCTGGGCCACTCAGTGTCCACACGATATTGCCTGTGTCAGCGACCCTATTCAGGACTACGCTGTGAGCAAGATAACTCAGGTAATGGTGGTGCGAGTAGCCGACTGTCAACACATTCTGTTAGGGATTTGTTTTGTGGCTTATTTTAGAAGTGTCTGAAATTATTTACATTGTACAATTAAAAAACTGGTACGATGTCATTTGTATTTAATGTACACATTGGTTATGCTTAGCTTAAAAAAAGAGAATGCAAATGTATAAAGAAATGAATAAAATCTATATCACAACAAAGTCAGTTATTCACTTCATTCTCAGCATTTAAACTTATCTCACTAGTTAATGAAGACTGAAATGGGCTTTTTTCAATCTCTAAATTGTAGGTGTTCTGACTCTAAACTTTTCTTCTCTGTGATCTTGTCAGTGTGGAATGTTTTGAGAATTACACAAACACTTTCCAATATGTGTTTTAGTATTTTAGGTTTTGTTTTTTCTTTTACATTCCGAGTCCAGTTTTTGAAAAGCTTGTAGGCCTTAGTGCCATCAGCAATTATGATGGAATCCACTGCTTTTTGTTAGTCAGAATTCAGTGGTGGAAACTGAGGATATCTTTCTTCCAATGTTGCAGTCTCCATAATGCACTTTGATGTCTGTTCTTATACCAATCAGGTTGTCCACAGTACTACTGCCAAAATGGAGGTAGTTGTGTGGGAACCCATGATAGGTACCACTGTAAATGCTCCCCAGAATACACCGGCATGTACTGTGAAATGAAGATCGTGGGTAAGTTGGCCAGAGCCGACCAACCTTCATGTCCTCTAGTTGATGGTGTTGTAAGCAGTCAGCATTGCTAGTTAAGAACAGTAGCAACACTAGGCACTTACTGCCAATGCAGTCAGTGCAGGTCATGTGACCAGATTATTATCTAGTCTTTTTCATTTGGGCTGATGTTGAGTTGGTTGAACTCTTCTGCTTGCTGAGATGACTGTCATCATGCACAGACAGGGCCTTGTTAGAGTGTCAATATGCACTGTGACTCCAAACACCCCCGTACCGGTAAAGAAGAGCTAGATTGGTGGGGGACTCGTTCTGTCTTTGTGCCTAGCGTGCATGCAAAGATTGTACATTCAATATGTCGTGTGTCAAATGTATCAACGAATGCAGCCACCTGTTACTGGACATTTTGTGATGGTCCCCTTTAACCATATGCTGCCGGGTTTAATTTGAAGTTGCATGACATATTCCAGGGGGATTTTCAAGATTTTCAATTTTCAAAATTCTTCAAAAATTAATAACTTCATATACTGGATGTTTACACCCACACGAATGACTGTCTGGTGGCCACTCTAATCTGACAGACAACATCTATTGACGCTCGAGTATTTTAGCCAGGCCTGCCGCCTTGTAAAGAGAGCCCAGATTGTGTGGTGTTATGTAATTTTCTTTTGTTCCCGAAACTGGCCCAGTGCGCTGCTGGCGTCTTGTCAATAGGGGCCAGATTAGCGTACAGCGGTATTGTATCGCTCATCACTGGAGCGCTCTTGTCCCCGGTGGTAATCTGCTCATGTTGAATGCCGCAAACAGTGGTATAATCTTTCAAAATAATGAACGAATTTCCTCCGCTGCTGACAACTGAAAAAATGTTTGCAATTCCCAGCAGCCCGGTCTTTTGTTTTGAGTACGGTCTTTTGTTACAAGGCGAAGCTCCTTTGTCCGATTTCAGGCACCCCGGCTTTGGGTATAAAGCCAACATCTCCAGTACCGGGCACCCCGGCACGAAGTGGTTAATGGTGGAAAGCAGCATGTTGGGTTTGGTATATATATCATATAATTGTTTTCATAATGCCTACCACCAGTGATGGTGTTACCATGGTGACCAGATTCATCTACACCTGTGTGTATATGCGATGAGTTCTCATCAAAGGATTGTCATTGCTGTGTAAAAGCTTGCCATGTCTTGTTCCCTCACAGAGCGCATTCATGTTCACCTGTATCACATACATGATTTAGAAATTTGTCTTATTTCTGGCAGATAAATTACCCTGAAAATGATTGCAGTCACATATGACCATATTCCACAAATTGAATCTCAGGGCCCTATTTTCAGTATTTATTTTAGTGTGCCTTAGGAAGAGGAACCTGAGCTGTTTTGACCTTTTGTTTTTCATATCGCACGCTACAACATGAAAATTGACATACAGTGGGTGAAAAATGTTGTGGGTTCCGGTCAGCCTTTTGCGAGTTAAACATTATTAAATAAACTCTCGTACATTTAGTTATCTGTTAGTACATAACGTAATGATTTGAATTCCCCAGAATTCAAATTGTACAGAGAATTCAAATTGTCATGTTCAGGTGAATTGAAAGAACTCAAGAGTACCAGATTTTACTCAAATTTAACTCGTAAAAGGCTTATTGGGAGGGAACACGTTAAACACTGGTTGGATGAAACGGGAGAAGTAACGAGATCATCTTGATATTCCCTCAACACTCGTCCATCTGAAGCAATGTCACAAAGCCTGTATCTTTTGTGTCCATGCAGAAACCTATGAGGAAGATGGCTTTCACAACAGTCTAACTTACACCTTGATAACGGTCATACCAGCCTCTTTGCTACTAGTGAGCATCTGGGTATGCTGCAGAATGAGACGCTGCCGTAACCCGCTGTACACCAGACAATACCCTGAGATGTTTGGGCAAAGATCCCGAGATGGCAGCTCAGGTAAGTGGAATCCCAGATACTGTTCATGCACCAGCTTGCAGCCTAGGGCACGTTGAGGTGTGAACTATAATTTGATCATTGGTATACAGTGGAATGCCGCTAAACAAACACACGCTAAACAAACACAACGGGGTCCACGCTAAATGTTTGGTACTGCGGCCATTCGGTATAGCGAAATTAACTGCTGAACATTTCGTTGCCATGTTGAATAGCACCCTCTCTTGTCTAACTGAAGTGCACCCTTTTGTGATACTATGATTTGCTGTTTTCGTGATGTTTTGCCGTTGCATTCATGTTTGAGGTTTCTAGAAATGTGTCTGTTAATTAGTTTGTTTTTTATTAAATCTTGAGTTACAACATTGATATTCAGTTAAGTCGTGAATCTACTGCTCAGGATCGATCTCTGATGCATGCTGTGGCGAATCTCGGTTTGCAATCTTGATTTGCAACTGCATAATGTTCGGTAGGTTTTGTGCACAAAATATTGGGAGCCAAGGACGATGTTCGGTACAGCAGAATGTTCGGTATAGCGGTGTTCGGTACAGCGACGTTCCACTGTAATGGCTTCTTACCAATGTACATGTACAATACAGTGCCACTCAAACAACCCTAGTCAAACCATTTTGAAAAAAATCAGTTGTAACATTTTACTGTTGGTTGGATCTCTTGTTACGCTGATCCTCTAATAACCGGCGATGCAAGCATGTCAACGATGTCAACTATATCAATAGAAGATTGAAAGGTAGACTAAGATGTCATTGCTGTCGCAGGCCACCGTATGTACAAATTGTGACTTTGCGACACAGACTATGGATTGATGGCCTTTTGGTTTTCATAAACTTGATATTTGGATGAACAATGAATTTATTGCATTCAAGTTAAAAACACAACCATTATCGCAGTAAGGTTCCAAGGCATTACTTCCTGGCTGCCAATCGGCTTACCTTGTGTTTTGGAAACTTGATTGGCTGATACATCAGATTCAGATCATCAAACAGAAAGGCAACTTCTGTGAAATTTAAATGAGAACACTAGCTCAAGTTATATTTGAATTGACATAAAGCAAACATTTCCAGCTCTTCACCTGCCAAGATGTATATCACATTGTTACTGATCTCCTCAAGACTAGTAGAGCACAAGGACACATTTTGTGGTCTGCTGATGCGTTCTCTGCTTTTCTGTTAGTAACTGAGAAAAGTTCATTTGAAAAGAAAGCCTTGTTTTCTGAAAAAAGAAAGAAAAAAAGTAATTATTTGACCTGGTTTACAGTCTCAACAGATCATCCTTCCTCAGTTAGCAGGAGCTTGTCTCGCATGAGTGCAGGAAGTATGTACAGTGATGAACCACCTCCTTACAACATTGTGGTGCGTAACCAGCGACGCAAACTCCGCAGGCACCATACCGTGCCGGGGCCCACACACACGTGCTCCGAACAACCCCCGCCATCGTACGAAAGCATCGTCATAGCCCAGATGGACCCACCGCCATACATCCACGTCCTGCAGTGCTCACACGCTAGGGGACCCCGGCGGTCCCTGGACTTGCCGCAGACTGTCATTGAGCTGCAGGAAACCACGTCCCCACTATTGGACGGTGTGCTGACGGGGGCTACTGGCGGGGACGGATCAGGGGAACAGGGTCAGGGGTCGTCTGCAGGTCAGGCTGGCCTGAGCAGAGAGGGAGCGAGCGATACTGGCAGCTTGGTGGAACAGAACTCCCTGCTATCATCCGGAGAGCCCTCATCGTCATGTGATGTTTCACATTCTCTCTAGGACCTCTCCTGTGCACATCCAGTGTCTGTAATGACACGTGTATCATTGGAGGTCTTGGGATGCTGTTTTAGGGACCCAGCTCCCTGCAGGAAGCGAAGCATTGTGGAAACCCAGTGCTTGGAGTGGTATGGTTTCCTCATAGTATTTTTACTGTAAGACTTGCCCAAAGAGTGAAGTACAGAAGCCCTTCATTGTATGCTGCGTATGGAACATAATGTCCAGCTACTTACATCAATAACAATTCAGCAACATCCATGATTACATCATGGATGTTTGTGCCATGAACCATAAGCAAGATGTACGACTTTAGCTGCGAGGCTCATTCCAAGAAGAGACCACAGCCTGTTAATGTATGTTTAGTCCTTTGGACGTGATCTTTTTGCTCCCAGAGCCCTGTCGTTTTGGCAAACATTCTGTGCATTCTTTGACTTAAAAAGTTCATTTCTTGCACAACTTTTAAGCACAAGATTGATTCTTGAAACAAGAGAATCAAAAATAGAAGTACTAAAAAACAATATGTTAGACTCATGACTATTAGTATTATTAATGATATAGTCTCATAGGAAAGCTGCATGATGTGATAAGCACAGCTTGGTGCCATAAGCACAACATGACACTAGAATTGGTCCCCTTATGCAGAATACATGTGTAGAGCATTCTCACCAAGTAATGCGACCTAATGTACATCATACCTCTGTCTTGGATACTGTTTTTCATTGGCCCAGGATGATGTCATGACAGGATGACATAACGGCATGTCACACTCCCTGTTAGATATCACATCAGCAAGCGTTGTATGATATGATTTGCACACATGCATGTGCCCTGCAGTGTACAGAATAATGCAGGAACCGCTGGTCGCTAAGGTTCAAAGATTCCTTTGTCGCCTTAACTTTCCCTCTGCACCCTATGCTTTGCCTAGGGCGCTGCGCATCCCTTGGGTGTTCAAAATGTCATTTCCCACATCACAGCAGGCAGCTACTGATCATTGTCGTAAAGCAGAAGCTAGGACCCTGTGGCACTGCACACAGTATTTAGGTAGAGGCAAGCTTTCAGAGTACTGATAAACTGGAAAAAGTATAAGAAAAGCATGGAGCAAGTACCCAGTGCTGGATTAGCCCAATAAATAATGGGCAACCTAATGTGGCATAGGTGGTGACCATTATGATCGAATTGTCCGAGTTATTTCATGTGAAAGTAAGACTCGCTGCCCAGTTTAGTGTACGCTGTACTGTTGCTATCTGAATGGTTGCCTACTGCCAGTCTTGGGTGAAACTGTGGAATTATTACCAACCAGCAAGTCACACATTATGTGGTGTCTCAATTGAATTTTCTTTTTGTTCAGTGCAGAAATTTTTTGTGTAGTATTTTTCAGCCTTGAAGGTTCAAAATTTTGCCCACAGTGCTTGATCCAGAGAAGACCAGTTGTCGGGTACTAACGAGTTTAATTGAGTGCTGAGGTTACTTCACAGTTGAAAGGTTTTAACCCAGGATGCAAAGTATGCGAGGTCGTGTCTTAGTAATACGTGTGGGGCTAGGCACAGCACCACACACCTGTGGAAGCCAACACACATACTGAAATAGGTATCCTTGTGGAGACAGTGCTTTTGTTCTCATGTACGAAAACATTGGATGTAAAAAGCTGTTTTCAAAATGCTCCAGGCTGGAATTTCAACCAAATGTCCCTTGTATAAATTACTTCAATTTGCTACAGATACTTACACGTTGAAAATTCCTCCTCTTTGAGTAATTTCCAAATTCTTCTTTCCAACTTTCTATTTCATCCATGGAATCTCTCTGTGGAGATCTTTTCAACCTATTCTGCTGGGTCTCCACCTGGAAGCCACTAGCCAATTTGGAATCGGCTAGTGGCTTTGTACATTTTCCACACATACACGTTGTTCAAGCCATTATTGATTTAATTCGGACACAGCTTGAGTCTCAGTGAGGGGAGAGTGTCAGATGTACATGAGCGCCAGCACCGTAGTTGTGGGGACACACACTCGACATTTCACCTATTTTGTGTGGACCGAACACGTTGTGGAGACTCAGAAATGTCCCTACCACTTGGTTCAAATTTCCCCAACAAAAGAACTTGTCCCCTGAATGCAGAGAATGCGTACCCATGTATTTCAACCAGACAACACCTTATTATTCACTAATTTGTGACTTGAATTTGTGTAAACAGTAGTGCAATTTCTGTATTTTCTAAGTTTTTATATAATTCCACTATTGTACCCAGTCACTGTCTTGTATTTTAGCAATATCTTGACAGTTTATAATGGTATTGTTACCAATACTGTTAAATTTTTTTGGAGACTGAAGCATGTATTCTTGACTAATTTGTGAAGGGTTGTGTTTAAAGTTTTTAATGCTTTTAGCTCGTTTGCCAATCCCTTATTGCATTCTTGCCAGATGTAAAGAACAAATGCTGTATTTAGGCTTGGATTTAGGTTGCATGGAATTGTGGGAAAGTTTGCTAAAGTGTAAAAGTGTAAGAAAGTACTGTTGCTCCTTTAAGTGGTTTTGGAACCCTTCGGAAACACTGGAGAATGTTATCATGCTCAGAGAGCCACGTAACAAGATTTACAATGGATAGTTTCCCAATTAACTAAGTTCCCTGCCTGGTTTGCAGTAGTTTAACTAGGTTTTTAATCGGGTCAACTTGATTTCGCAGCCAAACCTTAATGGGATATTCCACTGAATTAACCAATCCTTAACCCTGGTTCCTGCCGTATTTACAAACATTCATCGGGGCTCCTGCTAGGTTTGCTAAACCAGTACAAGGTTTCCTGTAAGATTTATCAAGCTATAAGTAGTTTGCCTATCTTGTTGAACCAAGATTTGTAATGGGGTTCACTAAACCAGAACAAAATAACCATCATCTGCACCTAAGTCTAGCATTTTTAAAGATGGTCACATGGTATTAATACTGACTGGTTTCCTCTTACTTGGTCATTTGGGCCAAGAAAAGTATTCAGTTTATACTTTGAAAAGTTTATCCAGGTGGAGGATAACATTTAAGATCTACTCGTAACTTACCTGGAAGTGCTTTTGATCTCAAAGCTACTTATGCATTGGAACAAATACAAAGACACACACCAGCAATAAAATACATGCAAAGAGCGACTCCAAGTTGTTTCACAGTGGAGCGCTATATTCTGGATATTTTCTTTGCTGAGATAGCACTTGCAAGCAGATATACAAAGTGTTTTGCATGATGTACTTTTGCATGCATTATTACATCTACTGTAGTAGCATCCAACGCACTTCATTGTTGGAGAATCTTGGCTGTGAAAACAAGCTTTGATCATTTTCTTGCCCGTATCTGGGGAGGGGGCACATGATTTATTTCACAAGGACCTGGATCACAATCAGTAAACTGTGATTGGTCTACAAACACCAAAAGCCCCACAGTGAATGGTGCGAACCAGCTTTGGAACCACTGATAGAGATCAGTGATCAGATCTCGATCAAATCTCAAACAGGCCCAGTGTTAGCCTTTGATCAAGGCGCCTGCGGCGAAATGGATAGTCGCTCAAGAGCGAGGAGCTGGAAGAGACTAGTTTAAGCACCAAACCGACGTACAAAGAAAGACTACACAGTCCATGATGCACTCAGCTCGGCTACTACATGGTTAATTTCAGGCGTGGGTGTGGTCCATCGTGTAGTCTTTCTTTGTGAATTGGTTTGGTGCTTAAACTAGTCTCCTCCAGCTCCTCACTCTTGAGCGACTATCCATTTCGCCCCAGGTGCCTTGATCAAAGGCTAGCCCAATCAGTGATCTTTGCTATGCATAAATTTACATTACTGTAGCATATTTGCCTCACATTTCATGTGAAGCGTCAGTGTGGTTTAAGATGTAAAGTTACCCTTCTTTGGCATTAAAGAAATATATAGACTTCCAGTTTTATAAACGTGTGTAGCCAGAGGTTTTGGAGATATTTGAAAATCTTTGATGGTGATATTAGGGCATTCCTTTTTAACTGAGGTTCTCATTTTCAACCGAGGAAGAAAAAGATTTGTTTATATGTAACAAAAAGGATATTCTGTCCAGCTTTGTGGTGAAAACTGGACAGTAATGTTCAATATTACATTATATTTGGACATTCGCATTTTTTCTATGAGGATTACATACACCTGTGCAGCAGTACTGGTCCATGCCACATTGATGACTAACATGTATTCAAATCATTCAAGTCCTTTCAGGACTTTATCGGTGACTGAATCTGAAACTACAAGCAATGAATAACTATGTATTTATAAGATGGCATCAAACATTAGTTGATGCCAGGTTCAAATTGAGTTCATTTTATGTAGCAAAAACCAAAAGTCATCAGAGATGTGCGTAATATTCTTATTTCAACATTATCCAATCATACATTGACAACTTTGCGTTTTGTGTAGCCTTATGTGCTTTCCACATGAGGATGTTTTCACCCAGGAACTTTCATTTGGTTTGACTGACCCTCCCAGGCCATAAAATGAGAACCATTTAGTGGGAAAGGAATACCCCCCAAGATGAAAGCTGCACATTGTACATTTCCCATTGCACAAACTGTAATCATGACATTCAGTAGTTGATGCATGTAAAACTACAGAACTATATTAGATGGGGATCTACTCTTTGAAAAGGTGCTGCAACAAAGTATAGCAGCTTCATAGTTGCCGCAAAAGCAAACATAAATGCAAATTGGGGACGTCAGATCAAATATTCGCTGCGACTTTGCAAAAGTTGAACACATTTCAACCGGTGTGAAGTTTGGTTGCAAATCTTTCGCAACATCACATTTGCTTGGCTTTCACTTTCGCCTGTTGTATAAACCAGGATTGATGTAAGTTTCTTCAGCGCGGCGTACTTGACGAGCGCAGCATGGAACTGTACTTACCTTTAGTCTAGGTCTGCATTTAGTACCAGCAGATGTTTTGGTTGTAATGCAGTGCATTCAGAGTTATTTGAATAAAAGTATGACTGATGCTTGATGTGGAGTGCAGTACAATGCAACTTCACCAAGGACACCACGTTAGTTGCCTTCCTGTACCAGTTGTATCTTAACTTTGTGTAAGATTTCCTCTAATAATTTCAAATGATATGCTTTCACGTAATGCTTAGGTCAAATTTTATTGATCTATGGACTTTAAAGATAAATATTAAATAAATGAATGCAACAAAAGGGCAAAGACTATAGCAATGGACATACATTGAACAACTGACTTGTTTTGACATTTATTAAAATACTGGGGAGATGACACTACCCAACTGCTAGGCAAAAGAATGGAACTGGTATGAAATAACACCAAAGCTAGGCATAGGCTTGGATAAAGTATTCGGACTGTATTTTGGAAAAAGATGTTTGGAATTATAGGAATAATCTCCAAATGTATCTCCATAAATTCGTATTCAAAATCCTAGACCACTGTGAGAATACTGGTCAAGGCATTGTGGGTAGACTTGTTTCTGTCCAGATGAAATTTACGAAGGGACTACTTAAAGATTTTATGATCTGCTGATAAGTGGATGATTGTAGCATGACATTTGCCGTGGTGTTTGTTCTACACATTTAACTAGTCAGCTGAAACGCTCATTGTGAAAGCACAGAGAAATGGTTTAGTAATGTTTTGTGTAGAAGCCATCACCACTGCAAGTGACAAGACATGATGTATTTACTTTGGCTCTTCAAGTCTCCCACAAACAACCCTTCCCAACTCTCACAAGATCCAGGTTCTGCAGTATCCTCGCTCAGGCCAATTTCATGTTGCCGCTGTTTAGTGCAAAGTTTTCTGCAATCAAGACCTTCGTCCATTTCATGACGACAGCACAGTAGACAGGACACATAACATCAGAGGCAGAATTGGCTTCGAACAGTAGCAAACAACAGACATCTCTGACCGCATGGAAGCATCAACGTGTCTCTGCCGTGAGAATGCGCTTTGACTTTGGCACGACTTTTCCATGACACAAATAAAGCAAAGCTTTTTCCATAATCAGCTCACTGAAATTGGCCTGTGTGCAGAAAACAATTTTTTTTGCATCCTAATTCCACATTTTTTCTTTTATATTTTACACTGATGACAGTACGTGTAACATTTGAAAGAAGTCAGGCATATGTATACAACCACAGTTGAAGAGGCACAGTTTAAGTTTGCTGTTCCTGTGGACAAATTCTTCTTCCAAGAAACAGCAGGCTTCAGGTATTGCGCAATGTCAGACAACCACTGGATTTTTGCTGTCCCTCGCTCAAACACAATTACCCAAATTTATATAAAAAAAACAATCTCCACACCGCCATTCTCTTCTCAAGTCAACCTTAAGATACAAGACACCTATGACGGTGAAGATACACAAATCAACACTGGAAAACCAAAAGTCTTGAGGAACGTGTGGGTAAAATTGTGCCTCACTGCACACTGCAACCTTCCTGGGAATAATGTCATGAAATTCAATGTCACCGAGATGTATCAATTGGGTTTGTCCTACTTTTCTGTTCAGGGCGTTGTAGGGTACTGAATTCCTACATTGATATATACAGGTATAACAGCACAAGACACCTTCGTGGTTCCACATCCTAGAAATACACTCCAGTTCAGTCCATCCTTTGAATCAATCATTTGTTGAGCTACAAAAGGCTAGTATTTATACAAACAAATGGAGGATTCCTACGCATTCCGGACACATATCCCATAAAATTCTACCATGTTTTTGTTTTTAAAATTCTTAAAATATAAGCTAGCAATAACTCCGTTATGAATAGATCTTACGCAAATAACCTCATATACTCATCTAATAGACTCTAGATATAAGTATAGATGTGTTTCAACCCAGTTGCTATATATTTATTATTGCACAATATTTTGATCAAAAGTAAACGTACATGTCCAGGGATAGTCTGTACTTTATAGTATATCTACATACTTTGTTTCATATTCAAAATTTGTCCCCCAGTATCGAATAAGGCACAAAACACCGAAAAGGGGGCTAGTAAGTTCATGTTAGAAGTGTTTCCCTGATGGTTTTTACATTTTTTTGCCACTTTTGGCCTGAGCATGTCACAACCTGTTCCTGTGTATCAGTGGGGGGGTATAACTGGATTAAGACCAGAGAGTCATTTCTGTTTTGAACAGAAAAAATTCCAGAGTCCATTTTAATGTCAAAATTGACATAAATTTTGTTCTGTCCATTTTTTCGACTGCCAAAAAAGTGACAACTTTTGTAAAACCATGAGGTGCTCTAATGTTTCATGCAAACTATAGCCTTCATTGCCGATTCACGAGTATAAAATGTTTCTGGTTGTTGAAACACTTGCAGAAATTAATAACCATAGGAAGTTACACTGCTAACATGACTGGCCCTCCTTACTGTGTTTTGTGTCATCAACTGCAAATGTATGATTGCAATACAGCCGTGTAATAACATGCATGCGAAAGCTCATAGCTACACTAAACTCTACTTAAGAAGTGAAGGAGGGGGCACGCAGCATAAGTGATATCATGTGAGTGTTGATCAAACAGGGCCTCCGAATCCAACCATGCCCTTTCAAACTAAAGGAGGCACACAGGAATGTTGCCGTGGCATTCTCATCACAAAATAAGATACATGTATATGTACTTGAAGGACCGCATTCAAATCATTTGAAAATGCTCATATTTGGGCATTTTCAAAATTACTTCTGACAAAGAAGAACTTCTCCTTCAGAAAGACATCCTAGGAATTGCTTTCAAATAGGTTAATCTTTTGTTTTAGCCAAGCACAACCTGAATAGAACTGACGATAAGCATTCCAAATACCAAGTTATTTCAACAACATGATCTACTGTTCACAAATAAAAGCCAAATAAATGCTAGCGATCAAACAGATGCAACACTTACTCTGTAGAAGAAATGTAACTGAAATATCAAAGTAAAAAAATTACTTCACTAGTTCTTATATTAAAAGGCAATCGACCTCTACAGCCATATCTACTCTTCAATTCTACAAGTTATTTAATCTTAAGAAAATTAATCTCAGTGAATATATATTTATTCATGAATGATTGCCACAGTAAATTGATGTAAATTTGTTTTACGTAATCATGACCAAATTATTAGAATGAATAAATTTGGTAGTTGCAGTTAGATAAAGTTCTCAACAAATGTCAAATATGGACAGGCGAACTCCAGATTTTCAAAGTTCCAATGTTTGTGTTTTACATTGGTGAATGCCTTTAACCAAAATTATGAATCAAAGGTCAAAATGTTTAGACGTGTTACCAGCTGATATGACAACATATAATATGTACAATGCATACACATAATTACACCGGTACTCTGTAATGTGAAGAGCAATAAGTTACTAGTAAACTTAGCAGGGGAAAATCCAGCTTCCGGGATAATATTAATATACGAGTGAATTAGGAATCTAAGAAATACCCAACTAAACCAAATTTACTGGAAGTTATTAGACAATGGAAGTGAGTTCATCCCAGTCATTCCTGTTTAAAGAAAACATATCCTATGCATTACAAAAACTACACTTTGCACACTCCTCTTGAGACTACATGTAGTTAGCTAAGCTTCAGAAGAAGACAAAATATAAACACAGATATAGATACAACTAAACCAACATGAACTACTGCTTTCCATAACTCATGTAACTTAACCTACAGCCCACTCACTGAAGCGGTAAACAGCTTTGAAATGAACACATCTTTTACAATGATTGGTAAAACTTAATCAAATCTGGCATCTACATTAATTTAACACAATGGAATGATAACTCCAAGAAGTGATTACGGCTTGTAGTTTTTTTTCCAGGAAGTAAACAAATAATCAACTTTTGGCAAACAGAGAAACATATTTACCATCGTATATTTTTGGCAGGGCTCAATTTTGAACTTGGCATAATTTTCCATTCGGGCACAACTTCAACAAAGTCAGGCAAAGTCTTCACCTGGGCCAAGTTTCCAACCTGGGCCTCAACAGGATCGCAAAGCAAATAATGCTCCAGGCTGCTTAGCCAATCCTTACACTGAGCCCAAGTTATGAGAGTGCCAATTAGAACCTACCATGTCATTATTTTGACAAAGAGTCCCCTTTCTCAGCTTCATACAAAAACTGTACCAAGTGATATTGCGTGCTTAAGGAAGATAGTCCAATTTCTTTTGATGTTTTTGATTGTGCAAAACATTCTCAAAGAGTATTAATTTATCTTTCATAATGCTGAATAATTAAATCAAATTATAAAACAGAGATTTCTAAAATGCTTGAAATAGTGTTGAGAGGAAAAAAATGAAATCCTTACAATTAATCTTCAGTGATTCCAATGACTGCACACACAATGGTCTCCTTTTTGTTGGGGCAAAGGGGAGAGGTCTTGCATTCTCCCTAGCCTTGGCAACAGCAGCAGAGGATGAGGGGGATGAGGAGGAGGCTATCTCAGGAGTAACACTTTAGCAATTAGGAGAAACCGTTGTGCATGCAGCCTGGAATCAAGACTAGCTAGGAGTTCAAGCCTGGATTCAGGGCTAACGAAGAGGTCACACCCACTTTTCACTGTTCATGCTTGTGGTTAGGCTTGTCTTTTTGAGGCTGATCTACGGGGGGGTTATCTAGCCAATTTGGGAAGGGGTTCAGCTTGGCGGTAGCCCGGTGCGACTTTTGTTAGGTGCTGCATTTTTAACTTGTTCTGTTCGCCTGCACAAAATGTTTATCAGCGGCCAGTTTCACATCACTTACACAATGCTAAGAGATTAACCAAACACACATGCAGCTGCACAGTGGACTAATGATGGATGTTACAATTTACAGTTAACTCCTGAAGAAAAGACACTGCATGAATCATTTCTTTGAAGATGCTGTCGCCTGCTGTGCAACTTTCACAGTTTGACACAAATTGGATTGGCAAGAGTTTTGTGAAATTGGCTGCTGAAGCACACTCCAAGTGACCTGTTCCTACAGAATGAGCCGAGTCGAACTGAAGAACTTTTGTGTATTTCATATTTTGCAATAAACCCCTGACGGTTGCCATTTTATTCTCCCACTTTTCAAAGCATACCACCAGGTCATTTCAGCAGTGCTAGGAAGCAGTGCAATGCTCTATCTCGTTACTTTTGAGGATCTTCAAAATCAATTCTTCTTGGGCATTTTGTGAGAACTGGTCACATAATGGACTTTGACATTCCAAATACTACTAAGGAGTTCAACGCAAGTACTGTCACTAACTTGGGCACATTGTTACTACTTCGAAAATGCTACTAGCAATGAAAAATTTTCTGCAGTACTGGAAATTTAGTACTGCATCTCATGCAGCATTCTTTATTACAGTAGTTTTATTCATTTGGTTTCTGAATGAATCTTCAGAAAAATTTACAATCATTCTGACATTTTTCAAGCCTTGTGTAAGACCAAGTTTTGTACATTCCTTGGCCACATTCAACTCTTTTGTTCAGGAATTTACCAAAAAACCTCCAGACTTGGAAATGTTGAATTTGAAACTGGAGTTATTCCACAAATTGGCTGGAATGTTTAGTTCTGTGTTGTTAACAAAGCCTCCAAGAAAGACAGTGGAATTTCATCACTATGGAAAACCATCGGAGCAGTGCCTTGCGCTTAGAAGGGCAAAAATCAACCAATGGTCAGCCATAGACATAATCTGGTCACATCACACGCCCATCACAAGTCAACTCACAAGTCACAGAGGTCTGCGGGTGAATCTCTCTAGGTAAGGAATATGATAATGCTGCGATCCTTTGAATGTTCAAATGTTTTTGCCCAAATTACAGCAAAGTTCCATTTCACACGTGACACGTTGCGATATTCTAAACATTGTGTTCATAAACAGAATATTCCCCATATTACAAACACTACTTTTAATCACATATCATTTTGGCTGGTAAGAAATTTACAAGGGTGCTGTATTGTGACTGATGTTCACACTGGTAATCTCATGAAGCGGTGTAACGGGGAATTCATCAAGGCTAATATTGAGAAGTTACAGGGAATCATGTTCACAATCACTGCAGTTTACTTCCCTGTTTACCTGTTGTTTACTTCATCTTCTCTTGGAAACGAGCAGAGATGGTCTACGTACCATCATCAGCTGGAATGGCCAACTGAAATGTGCATGAAGTGTGTTTGTGAATGACTGTTCCCAACGGAAGGGAGGTATACACCATTTCACTGAGAACGTTATGACAGTTACATGTTTCTGAGACGCTCCCCCTCACAGTGACCGATGCTTCAGAAGAAAGTCTTTGTGACACTTCATTTCAACAACATCTGAGAGTAGATGACTTGTAAGTGGTGACCCGTGATTGGCCTGTGATGACCAGCACAAACAAACAAATTAAGCCTTGGTACACAATCCCAAATTTCACAGACTTAGGCCAGTGAGGTCTGACTTGATTCACACGTACATACGTAGCTTATCTCTTCCTGGCAATCTCCTAGCTGGGTGTGGCTTTTGTTGTGGTCGTATTTGTCTTCAAAGTGTTCTCCTTAATCCTCCTCCTCATCTTCCTCATCCTCCGTGCTGCCGTTGGTCAAGGCCAGGTTGCCGTGGGTGACTGAGGCGGTGGCCTCCTCCACCTGCAGCCGGTGTCGTACCGCCTCGTACGTCTTGCTGTTCAAGCTCTTGCTGGACACGCCGTGCAGCTCAAAATCCTTGTACATTTTCTGTGTGTGCCGAGGAAACGGGTGAGAATTGGGATGAGTGACTCTGCTGAACAGGTCTTTACGAATGCGATCATGAGGAATGTGCCTACTACATATTGAACACTGGTTATCACTGTTCCACGGTTTCCAAATGACCTTACTGGTTAAGATTTGAGACTCATGACCAGACAGTCAGGGGTTTGCATCCAGCTCCTAGCAATATGTTATGTCCTTAGGCAAGCCAGCTCACAGCAACATGCCTCTCCCAACCCATGAGTATAAAGTATAAGTGTGACCTGGCACAACAAAATGAGCGTAAAGTCACACTCTGATCTTTCCTGTTTTGAGGGTTCAAAGTCAAATATTGATGTGGAGGTCAAGTTTGGCATTTTGTAATATCTTGAACGAGTAACCCCTCCATTTCATTCCAATTTTGTTAGCAGGATCAGGTATTTAAAAAAAGTCATTTTTTCAGCAATTTTGATGATAGCATTATTCGTGCCCAGTCAGAAATGTTGAAACAATGTCAGAAACTGCCAGAATAATGCCACATTGTCACCTCTTAACCTAAATGTTCCATGTACATACCATTGAAAAGCTCTCTTTCTGCTGATTTAAAAAATACCAATATCTCTCAAGTTTTTGAAAATTCCGACTTTCAGCTCATTTTGTGGTGACAGGTCACAAATGGGTACCAGCATTAACCAGGGAGCAACGTGAGATGGACCAGTCAGAAGGAGAATAGAAATATTCTCAGTCATTTCAGGCCTCGGAAACGGGAGATAAACACTGGCTTAATGAGCCAAATGACTTGGGAAAGACGTGCTTGTTTGCTCTATGGACCATTACGTAGAAGGAAGAAGAGGGGACCTAATCATGACATGCCCATCAGGGTTTATTATGTCAAATTTAAACCCCCAGAATGAATGTCGCAAACAAACACGTACGATTTGTTCAAATGTCGATGCTTCAACCTAAAATGTAATGTGACAGAAGGCCTGAATGCGGAGCACAGTGCAATGTTTCTTTGTGATTACATAGTGGTTCACGCTCTGCATGAACTCTGGTGAGCAGACAATATCTGGTTAGGCCTGCCCATCGTGAACAAGTGTACAATGAGCAAGTCCAGCTCTCTGGTGCCAAACTGTATTTTGTTACCGCATGCGTCATGCGCATGTGCCTGCATGTGCACAAATGTTGGACTTTGGTGCATGAATGTCAGACAAATCACCGCTGTGATTGTCCAAAAGGCCACAAGGTGGGGCTTATTGAAGCTCTTTGTTTTGCCTCTGTCATTGATTTATATTCCCCCTCGCCTTTGAGACTGCTAATGGTCTGAATTAGCAGCACATACATTAGTAATCCGTAGCAGGGTGCTGAGCTGATGCACGTGGAGTTGCAGGTCCATACGGTCTGACAGCCAGTCACAAAGCAGATTCATGTTGGCCGTATAAAAAGCCTGCAGACGATCAACGTGAAACCAACAAACACAGGGTTTACAAGACACTTCAAGGCAAGTCTTTGTCCACATGTCATTCCTGGACGTTCATGTGAGTGATGCCCCGCCACAATCCAGAATTTCAGTTTTTTCAGTGCTGGGCCCCCACAACCTATCAAGTGATTACCCATTAAATATCCTATTCTGCAAATCGTCACAGTTTGAATGAACCAGTTATCAACAGCCATGCCTTTCCAAAAAATTGCAAACAGGCCAATGAAATCTGAATCAACAGTTGTACCACCAGTTCTCTTGAAAAGCATTTAGGAAATCCAGGTGGTGCTTCAAGGTACAATCCATCCCTGTGAGGCGACAAAATTCCCCCAAATCTATTAAAGAAGGGTGTGTAGGAAGAATCCTGCTGAACTTTTCAGCTGAGAAAACAGTATTTTAGGATTTGGATTTTAGATCACAAGTTGCCAAGTCAAAACAGTCGCTGAAAATGCACAAATAAATAATTCTGGAGATTGGTGCTCAAAAAAGTAAAAACTCTCCCGCTTCTCACTGTGAGTTGTTAAGGAGAAAGGATTGAACATACGCTAGGGTAATTTATTCACTTCATGCATCACTGATTTGCAGAGAATGGTCAGGCTGTATTACTGGACTGCCAATGGGTAAAGCCAATAGATCAGAATTCAACATGTGGAGTGTTCTCACTGGCTACAGGTGAGGGCAGGTTAAGAGTAGCTGACTCACATCAAACAGGGAGTAGATGAACTCCTCATCATGCAGGCACTCTCGAACCTCATCCAGGTTTTCGCTCACAAAGGAAGCGTAGTCGTCAGCTACTTCAGAACCTGGATTCTGCAATTATAACCAGGCTAACAAGAATTGACATTTGCACTCACATTTTTTTGTTACCAATCAAGCACTGATTTTTTTGTATTTTAATTCACCATTAGAATGTTGGGGATAGCTCGTCCAAAAATCAAGGACTCCCAAAATGACGACGGAAGTCTAAACTATTAAGATGTTGACGACAAGACAATATAGTGGCTTGAAAACAACCTGTCCAAAACAGCATGAGATGGCTAGCATGTGAAAAGAAACCACTGGTACCTAGTCTCCATTCGCACTCAAACTAATGCAACCATACTGACTAATCTATGGTTCAAAAAGTTGCTTAAGTACAAGACCGGTCTTACACTGCAAAATAAAATCACTTGATTTCACACTACGCAGTAAGACAGAAAGAAAAATCTGTTAAAAGTTTGATTAACCAATCCCTGTTGGGTGGAGTTAGCGGCATGCATCACCCTCTGCAAGGCATTTTTTCATTTTTTTTTTCCATTTTCAAAATTCTTCAAAAATTCACATCTTCATTAACTGGACGCGTACACCCAAACAAATGACTGTCTTGTGGCGAATCTTATCTGACAGGCAACCTCCATTGATGTGTGAGTACTGCAGCCACGCCTACAGCCCAGCCCAGTAAGAGGCTCCATTGTGAGGTGTTGTGTAATTTCCTCTTCGTTCTGGAAATTGGCCAAGTACATTGGTGGACGGCGGTGTTATCTGTACTAATGCACCCAGTGGTATTGTATCACTCATTGCTGGAGTGTTGGAGCGCTTTTGTCCAAACTGATAATCCGTGGGTGCTGGCAGCAGCAAACAATGGTACTGTTTCAAAACAATGACAGATTACCTCCGCTAAAAAGGGCCAGCACTCAGCAGACAGCATATGAGCCTTGATTGGCAAGTCCCAGCAGCTGATTGACAGCAAGTAAACTTTTTCTAAAAATGCCGAGCATTTTTTTTTCTAAAATAAAGGAAGTTCTGATTTCGGGCACTCTGGCCATGGGTATACTGCCATGGGTATACGGCC